CTCCCCCACCCTCCCCCAGCCATTGGTCACTCTGTCCTCTGACCTCCATATACTCCTTCTCTTATGGGCCTTGGGGGTTCCCTCCACACAGATTGCGCTTCCACCTACTCATATTGCCCACCAGGTGATCATATCCTACCATGGTCCCAGGAATTGGCTGGGGAAGCTGCTACTTGGAGCTCAGGCTCATCGGTTTCTTGGGACACTGCTGCCTACTAGTGGCTGTTGTGTGAACAACTAAGTCAGGGATGGTTTTAACCTCAACCTCAGGGATTCAAAGAACAGATTGCTTTGGAGATCACCCTTCTCTTACAAGAAATCCATTTGGTAACCCTGCACCCCACAATGACTTTCTGAAGTCAGCGTCAGACCATATCACTCTACCGCTTAATACTCCCCAGTGTCTCATTGGTGAAACCCAAATTCCTTAATCTAGCAGACAAGATCTTTCACATTCTGATCTTTGAAGACCTTAGCTCCTAATACATTCCTTCAACACCCCAAGATCCAGCCGAGCTGATGACTCAGTGTTCCCTGGATGGTTCCTAATCATCTAATTCTAAAACTTTTTGTTCAAGCTCTTCTTTCTCCTGGTCTGCCTTTGGTCTCTCAAAAAGACCAAATTAACTGTCATGTTCTCTATGAAACATTTGTTCATTCCTTCAACTGTTACCAGAACATACATTCTTTGCCAAGCTTTCTCCTAAGCTCTGTGGTATCTTGAAAGAACATGGTTTCCAGAGTCAGATTGAGCTCATTTCAGATTCCTACTCTGCCACTTAATTGAATAACCTTGGGTAAGTCACTTCACCTTCTGATCTTCAATTTCCTCAGCTGTGTTGTGATATTGAGATGAAATACGATAATGTATTTGTAATGCAGGTATCAACTGGAGTTACTCTATATTCTCCCTTCCCCCTTTCAGAAAGTCCAGTCCTCATACCAAGATTTCTGTGAATTCCCAGGGATCTCTTTCATTTTCTTATTTTTTTCTTTTAACTTTCCTGCCAAAAAAAAAGTTATTAATTCAACAATACATATATCTCTGATATCTTTCCTGATAAGCTTGTTTAGGTTAAATGAGTATAAAGCTCCAACTTGCTCATCAAGAAAATAGGAATCTTATCTATTGTGCCTGCTTATGTAATAAACTGGTTTATTATACAATCCAGATGGAATAGCTAGTAGATGTCTCAATATCTGTTATTCCTTGTTTATACACTTACATTTTGCATAAAATAAGTACAGGTTGTATTCCATGAAAGGGAGCTATTCAAACCTGTCTTTGAGTCATTGCATCTTGTCTTCTCTTTGCCCTACATATGTAAATAAAAGCACATAAAAGCTACTGTATATTTGTGGCAAAATTACACACCAGCTATCTGTGCTGAGAGAGATGCCTAAAGGCTTTAACTCTACAGGAGGCACTAGCAGATGGAAGTCCAGTTTCAGTGTCATTTCAGAAACACCTAAGGCCTCAGGGCTGGAAAGTTCTGTGATTGCCCAACTCATCCCTTCTTATCTTTCTTGGAGTCATATTTTTAAAGTACTTTTAGAGTTTCCCCCCCCCAAAAAAATAATAAAGTAAAACTACACCAAAAATCATGTATGCCCTCTTTTAAAATTTACTTGGATTTCCAAAATAGAAATAGGTGGATTTCCAAAAAGAAATCTATCTGCATTGTTACCTACCTAGGCTCTTCTTTTCTCTTTAATTTAGGTCTGATTTTGTATGTTTTGCTCTTCCTCCTCTCTTGCCTTGTCTCTGGCTAATATAATAGTTACTTGTCTAATGTAATCTACCAGACAGAAGGCAAAGAGGGGTCTTCCCTTTTCTTTTTTATATACACTAGAGGCCCGATGCATGAAATTTATGCAAGGGGCTCGGCCCTCACAGCCGAGGTGGCTTGCCTCGGCCCTCGAAGCCCCAGCTTCATCTGGAAGGTCGTCAGGAAGGACATAGAGAAGGACATCCGGAAGGTCATTCGGCTGTCGGTCTAATTAGCATATTATACCTTTATTATTATAGATAAATTTATAGATATATTTTATTTTTTAAAATATATTTTATTGATATTTGTGCTGCACAGAACTTTATTTGAAATCAAGACATTTAAAAAATATTTGTATTGATTTCAGAGAGGAAGGGAGGAAAGAGAGAAAGATAGAAACATCAATGATGAGAATCATTGATTGGCTGCCTCCTGCATGCCCCCTCCTGCATGTGTCCTGACCGGGAATTGAACCGTAACCTCCTGGTTCATAGGTCGACACTCAAC